CTCTCTCTCTCTCTCTCTCTCTCTCTCTTTCTCTTGGTTGGGTTGTTAGTTGGGTGGGGAGGGTAGTTGCCACACGCCAGTAGTAGGTGCGGCCCTTGTGGGAGCTCGGTAGTGCTTGAAGTCTTTAGCCTACCATCTTAGTACTTGATTTATATCTAGTTGCTGTTTCTTCCCTGTTTTTAACTAAACATGAAATCCAGTTCATGACCACATTAATTGGTCCCCTACACCATCTCCTAAAAATGCAGAATCGCTGTATTGTGTCTATCAAAGATTCTAACTAAAGCACTCTGCATTTGAAAAAAATGACTGGCCAGAAAGCTAAACGAGAAATAAAAGAAAAGATAACGTATCACCAAAGGTGCATACAGAAAGAAATTAGATAAAGAATTTCAATGTATAGAATACACAAAACCAACACATATTTTTGTTACACATAAAACAGCTTGGGTAAAAAAAACAAAAAAACATGATTAAGTAGTTTCAGGTCTGTAGCCAAAACAGGACGATGCTAACCCAGCCCATCATCGAAAGAACGAGTGTCAACGACCTTGATTCTGAAGCACACAAAAGCAAATATTTGTCTCATGTTCCGATTGACCTCCTCGCTCTCTCATTGGAACCGGTCCCCTTCCAAAATGCCCGTAACATCTCATTAGTATATGGGTTCCCCCCACCCACCGTAATCAACACTATCAGTTAAAAAGTGGGAAATGTGTTATTGAATCCAAAGCTGACGAATGATGAGTGTATATTATAGAGACAGTTTATGAACAGTCATTTCTAGAATTCTAAACCATAACTTTTGATTGTGGGTAGTTGGCAGGTGGTCTGGTGTGGTTTGGTCCTTCTATCCTGTCAAACATCTATCGTCCTTATGTCTCCTCCTTCTTGTTTTTTTATGTCTTGTAACACCTCTATTATTTAGAACTTGGAAATGACCTTTCTGTATTGCAAGTGCCATAAAACTCTTAGTCTTACTCAAACTACAACTTTATAAAATATGCAAAGCCATTGACGAATTTGCAACATACGGGGGATGAAGTCAAAGTGCAAGTTCATGGCTCATCAAAGCACTCCGAACATTATGTCTATCATGTCAATCTATAATGACCCAGATGTGACCCCTTGCATAGTGCGAGACCCCGGATGTACGTGCTGTATCAAGTAAGTTCCAATGGATGTCAAAAGCTTACTTTTACAAAGACCCTCCAAGATTGTTTTTGTGGAAGTCTTTTTATCCCATCCCTCCACGTTGCCGAGGTCTGCGGTGTTTTCATAGACAGATCGGTACCTCACATTTACCAAGTTCTATCTGCTCAAAACTTAGTTCAGTCTGACAAATTGGGTCGTGGCAGCCGGCTTCCAGGTTGTCTAAATTGTGTCAGTGGGAATGTATAAGTTTGGTAAGGGTTCTACGGTACTTGCAACAGAATTAGACCATGTATGTGCCGAAGCTTTACGGGTATCATTAGAGATTAACAGACATAAAAGGAGCAGATATGTCTTATACAGACGACAGATGTTTAATAGGAAAGCAGGTGCAAACCACCCTACACCAGAGCACCCCCAAACTACCCGTACAATCAACACATCCTTCGGTGGTATTTTCAAAAGGATTAAATGTGGAAGGTAAAATACATGAAGAAGAAGTGTGGGTGGTTGGCGGATGCTTTAGTGTGGTTTGCTTCTCTTTTCCTATCAGACATCTATCGTCTTTATCCCTCCTCCTTTTACTTTATACGTTACTCTCTAGTAACACTTCCATTCTTCGGCACCTATTTGTGTGGCAAGTGCCGTAAAGCTCTTACTAAAATTTAAACGAAGAGGAAGAGGAAGACCAGGAAAGTAAACCCACCTGCTGTACGACGGGTGGTGCTGCTACACTGATGACCGGAACCACCTGTGGCGTCTGCTGTAGTAAGACCTGGGTGGGCTGGACCATGGAGACGCCCTGTAACACCAGGCGAGGCCCGGCAGAGGTCACCAGAGGGACCAGGTTAGACTGACCGGTGGCTACTCCGGTAGACGTGATGGCGTTTGACGTCACCGTCTGCGGTTGTTGGATGATGGTTCGGGTGGCCTGTTGCATTTGCTGGGGCTGAGGTTGCTGCGGCTGTGTCTGGGTGTAGGTGATGATGCTGTTCTGGATGGGCTGCGGCTGCTGCTGTTGTTGAACCTGCTGCTGTTGCTGTATTTGTAGCTGTGAGTTATACCCAAGCTGAGACCCGGGTATGCTGTTAGCCAGACCGATTAGATTATTCGACTGGCCTGATCCAGAGAGATATGTCGAAGGCCCTTGCTGGTTTATATAACCATTGTTTAGCCTGGAAGATAATCCCGGCTCGTTCAAACCCCCGTAGTCTCTCAAACCTTGCCTACCAACATTCTGATTCCGGGAAGGATATACATCGTAGTTAGGACCCAATTGCAGACCCCCAGACCGTTGAGACATTTGCCTTCCGGGAAACCGGTCACGTGAGCGAAGAACGTCCAATATAACGTCCGAAAGCTGAGATCTGCGACCTGACAAATTGTCCAAGCCCCGCCTATAGGAGGAGCCTCCTTGGTTGCCGTTGTATGAGCCAGAGCCTCCTAGGAGCTCAGAGAGTAAATTGCCAGACCCTCGTAAACCACGCCCCCTCGGTCCAGGGGTGGGCTCTGACAGGGCTAAATCTGTGGAGAACAGCAATTGGTACATTCTTCTTATCAGAAATATATCGTCGGACAGCTGTTCAGACGAACAAAAAACCCACAATTTAGAAGTACTTTTTTACTGCAGTTTCTCACTCTGTGGAAAGGGTTGCATGTGCTTAAGTAATATTTTGTTGCAATTCGCATTCTAAACGTTAATTTAAAAAAACAAGAAAAATACATAATGTAGGTACAATATTAATTAAAAGAATAAAACCGGTGTTATTTCTCCTGGAGACTTTTGCATTCAGGGCCTATGACATTTCAATACAGCTTGTCAACGCCATGTTTTGTTTCAAAAATATTTGTTGATGAATTCTCGATGAGTAAAGAGAAGCAACTCTACACAGCACTGCTCATTTAGCGCTGGAGGAAAAAATTGGAAGACAGACGAATATCACACGGAGTGAAAAGAAGTACGGCTTAAAAGAGGCACCTTCCAATAACCTGTGAGAAATATTTCTCTTTGATAAATAACTCTTCCAAGACGGATCATGATAGACCTGACAGGTATAGTAGAAACGGCCCGAAAAAATAAACATAACAAACTTAGCAGGTAGGAGTTGGTCATTTAAAATAATTAAATCATTCCATCGAACTCTATTCACCAAATTGAAAGTGCTTTTATCTTAGGCCACCCAGTAAGTTGTTAATATTGTACTAAGCCAAAAAAAGTTTAAATATGTTTTATATTGTAGTTTCTTAAACTGTGGTATTCGTTCCATGGGATCAAGTTATACTGTGCTTTAATTGAAAGTACAATTGATGGTTTAAAATGCATTTTTTGGTCATTTCTGTAAAATTTGTTTTCCGAGCTTAGAAACTTTTAGTGACTTACCGACGATGTAATATAATTGATAACAAGTGTATCAAACTCTTGCTCGGCTTTACTTTAGCAATCTTTTATTAACTTACTTATTCAGTGCATTGTAGTGAATGAAATAAATTGTCCTCCCACATTCTAAAACAGAACAAACAAACAAACCCAAAAAATTAATCTAATTTGTAATGATATGGCAGCAGACCGTTGTAAAAAGTCTGTGGTGTACAGTTTAGGTGCTTCGACATCGCACGCAAGAGACTCAAGTTCGATTCCCTAAAGAGAACATTCTTATAGCTTAATATCTGTCTTTCTGCTCGGACGTCGTATCCGTTTCGGTCCGGGTTAGCTCTGATAGGCAGTGTTGAAGCCCGCTTGCTTGATCATCTAAATTGTGTTGATTTTTGTTTTTTTGATTTTTTTTGGTTGGGGGGGGGCGTAAAACACCCACATTAAGAAATATATCTCAGCTGGTTTTCTGCTGAGCCATTGTTGGAATACTCTTGGTTCGAATTTCCAAAGAGGCGCTTTTAATCGCCTTTTAAACAGCATACTTATGTTGAGAGGGTCGTTAAATCCCAAAAACTGGAATAATTCGGCAAACAACCTTTCGGAGAGATAATAAACGAATAGATGGGTAGGAAAATAAATTCGGTAGACAGCCATTTGTGGAGAAAGACAGTCGAACATACGATTATAAACATTACGTAAACAGTGAATTAAAGAAAAAGATAAGGGAATCGACTCTTTGAGGCATTCAGCTGACAACTATTCGAAGAGATGAAGAAACGCATGCACGGTTAGAGACATTCAAGAGATAGATAGTCAAATAAATAGTATGTAGAAAGATTCAGTTGACAGTCATTCGAAGAGATAGATAGTCGAATAGACTAGTAGTGACATTCGGTAGACAGCCATCCGATTATCATTAAAGCTTATTATCCTCTACCTGCCAGCAACAGCTTCTGTAACCTTGACCTTGAACTGGACGCTCCTAATGACGAAAGGTCTGAATTGAAGTTGGATAGGTAGCTGGAAAGACGGCTCTGAGGAAATAAACACAAAATCAGATTTAAGGAACGCACGCCCAAACACACACACACA